TAATTTCATCATTATTTTGTGATGTATAACATATTCACCATATCTGAATTCGAATTGAGAAATCTGACTGTTCATCGAAGCTCATAGAATCAGGACTATTATGATTCATTAAATCAGAGAATTTTGTTCATTGTGACATTTCCTACTATCATAACATGAATAGATGTTTCCCTTAGTTGAATTGTTGCCTATTAGTATCAATGGTGAATGGAATATCAGTTGATAAAATAACACAAAAATAGAAATGCTTAACTATGTCTGTGTATTCCACACATTTCACACCTGAAACACAATCACATATACTCACTCATTTAGCTAGTTAATTTATGATCAACATATAAAGTGTGTGAAAAAGACCGACATAATCTTTACAGTAAAACTATACTACACTGACGACATAAAGTGATTCTAAGAGTAGGCATGGAATTGAAGAACTAGATATTAACCAATTACAACCGATATTTCATTGTTAACATTAATGACTGACCTTAGTTACACTACCATCAAAATATATGAAGCACTGGACAGTTTATTCGTTTTAGAATGGGATGCTTTGGTAGTTCACATCTACAGGTCGATAGGAATCGCACTCAGGACCTGTAAGTGTTTAACCTTTGAATCATTGAGGAGGTATCTAGTAATTAACATGTTTAAATTCAACAGTTATTAGTTACTTAACAGATGAATGAAGACTAAATTCTGAAGCAAAGATGGATAGTGGTTAGCAGTGGAATTTAGGACGTTCGTTTCGTCCTATTTGAGACTCGTCAGCTGGATGTACCTGCATCCCAGAGTTAACGTTCACCCGCGACTCGAACCCAGTACCACTCACTTAGCTACGGAGTCCTGACAGCCACTTGGTTCTGCAATGGGGTGAAGTTCTAAACATCAATGAGAAGATTCAAGTAAACAATACGAAGTGAATTTAAATATTGAAGGTCATAAACCAATCAACTGATAATGGCTATTCACTATCCCTGTTTGTCCTCTCCATATACATGTTGGTGTTGAATTTCAATAAATCTGTGTTTTTATGAAGTGACTTACATTTACCTAATATTTTATGTGGATGATGTATTGAGAAAACTAAGATTGTCAGAACTACATGACATATTGGCGTAAAACTTTTCAAACACAATCTGACCGCACATATACCTGTCCCAGAGTGAACAACAACTCTGAGATGCATAGGACATAGGACGAAACGCGCGTCCTGGATTCCACTACTAGTCACTATCCATCCTTGCTTATAATGCTTGTAAATTAAAGCAATATCGAGGCAATACGCACAGTATGCACATATGCCAACATGAGACCGATCAATTTCAGTCCTAAACATCAATGGGAAGGCACAAGTAAAACAGTATTAAGTGAATCAAACTTGTTAAGAATATTTATTTATCAAATACAAAAGGTCAATACGACAAATGAAAGATTAGGTGATTAACAAAGAAAAAGATAGATGTTTATCATCTGCTCTAAATGGGTCATCTGATTTAATTTGTTCCTGTAATTATGTTGGGTACATGTTCAAAGATCCTTGTCTATTTACCGGTTAGGACTGTGATGAAGCATATACCTTGTTTCTATAGCGATAATTAACAGCCACAAACAGCTGATTTAAGCTTTTGTTTAAACATGAGGTAGTTTGATTAACCTGTGAATGATAGAATGATCTGATGTGACAGATGATTTCGGTGACAGAAATCTAATATATCTCAATACACTGTGACCTTTCCACTGATTCATAAATTTTCAAAGGATTACCATTTACTGTCAATGGTCTGTTTAGTAGCTTCACGTAATCCACAACAGTATCATTAGTACAAATACGGTCGATCCAAGATAGTCCATTAGTTAAAACTCCTTCATATTGAAGTTATTTATTTTATTTATATAAACACATAAACATTGGTATAAGGAGGCACCAAATACATATGCGCCACATAAATCATTCGATTTATGTGTAGTTTATATTCAAGTATGTAGTGAGTTACCAGTAACCTATTCTTGATTGAACCGCCCAAGTATCAAGGGACAACAGTTAGTTTACGACTGTAATGAGCTAATATTTATCAAAAATCCTAGTATTCTCATACATTAAATTGAAGACTTGCTTCGTGTTAATTAGACGAATGACAAAATAAATTGTATAATAGGATTGTTTAAACTATGTATCAGTATGAGTGAGAATCTAGTGCTAGAAAAGGTTTACACCAATCGATCGGTAGCTATAAATTGTTGATTATTAATGTAACTACATCTTCTTAAGTACGGAATTACTGGGTCAATTTTGTTCTACAATTCCTGTCTAGGAGATCGGAAGAGTGTATTTGGCGATAACCAATATATCGGAATTCTCTGATCTAATCTGGTTAGCGATTGCGGTAGATGTTGAGCACGGCGTTTACACACGTGATCTGGTGCGGATGCATAACCGAGCGCCTTCAGCTAGATGAGTCCACTAAAACATAAGTTCAGCATCCAATGTGGAAAACTTACAGAGCTATTTATTTTTTAGGATTTATTTACCGCTACAAGCCAATAAAGAGAATGTTACAGCTTAAAATGAAATATAGTGAAAATTCCCATTTTGCCATTTGGTAAATAAAGAAGGAACGAATTGAGCGAAGATCATGAACATCACCCTGTCAATAAAACACTATAACCCAAAACAGAAGATACTACTAAAAAATATAATAAAGTTCATTTACTTCACATATTCCTAGTTACCAACCTATAAATTACTACCATTGATATCGAGCATGAAACCAAAACTACACATCCTATTAACGAAAACCACCTACGAAATCGAAACCCTATGGACTTGCTCTTACTCAGTAGCTTTATAAAATCAGCAAATCTCTGCAATAAACCAGCTATACCAACCTTATTAGGTCCCTTACGTAATTGAATGTATGATAAAACCTTACGCTCTCTCATTATATAAAAAGCTACTAATAACAGTATCATCACCAAACTTTCAACACTTAAAACTAATCCTCATAAATACATATTATAACACATTCAAAAACTATACCCTCTAATAAAACTACTAAATCTATTTCAAACAACTCACACACTGACTATTAAAGTTACTAATCACCAAAAGCACGACAAGCTTTCATTCTCCATAAACTAAGCGCATCCACTATATTGTATTTATCACATTATATATTACATTTAGTCACTTATTTAATTCACTTTACATAACCTAACTTAAGGACACCATTGAAGAAACCTTAACTCAGAAACTAAGAAGAGCCGTACAAAAAACATTTAATGCTGCCAGATTAAATGCAATCTTCTACAACTATCCTAAGATAAGAACAGCCAACAAAGACAGACTGCCTGAATTCGCCAAATCTACGTGTATCTATCGTTTCAACTGCTCCTGTGGAGCCAGTTATATTGGGCGTACAATACAGCAAGTCCGTCATCGCATTACTGAACATCATCCGTCGTGGTTAAACAAAGGACAGGTAAAAGTGATTAAAAGTTCTATTCTCTCACTTGGTTGACACAGGTCATCAAGTCGAATTGAATAAAGCTTTTAAGGTTATCTACAATATCCCATCTAATTTGCCACATGGTTTACGAGTGCGCCTCTTGCACATTGCGGAATCCATCGCAATCCATGTTCACAAACCTGACCTTTGCATTCAAAAAAGATTCGTACAACCACTTTCCCTGCCCTGGCCATCAGTTTAAGATTTCCTTCAAAAGAACTATTTTTCATACTTCTCCCATTTGTTTTTTTTTTGTTTTTTTATTATTTTTAATTTTTGTAATTTTGTTTCTATCGCTTTTGAACTTAATAACTTCTCAACATTCATCTCTTGATTCTTACGTAACTACCATCCTATTGACCATTCGTTAAAATTCTGTTCCTTCTTTGTTTCTTACATTACGCAACTTAGCAACTTCTTGATCACTTTGAATATTAATAATCCTCTTTCTTCCAATTAATCAATGTTAATTTAAATGTCATTATGTAATTATTACGTAACGTATCCACTCGATGAGGATTATATTATTATTGTAAATCATACTTAGATATATTAGTGTAGAGCCATGATGAAAAACTAATTAAAAAGAAATTTCTTCGCTCAGTTCGTTCCTTATTTATTTAAAATGAAATCCTCAATGAAATCTATACTTTTACATGTATCACCCACCTATAAAATGAATGAAAAAAACATGATTGATGCCAAACACAAAATGAACGCTGAAAAGTAAATGTGTTTAGAATTCACGGAGACAATATCCTATACTCGAGTGCTCCTGTATCGAACTGATGATTGTTTTTTCGTTCCCCTTTCAAGAGCCAGGCAGGATAATGTTCCGAGATGCGTTTGGATAGTAATCGCTTTGTGCCAAGACTTAAAGATTTCCAACCGTAAACCAAGTAATTAGTTCAATTCAATATCCACATCAATGTTCAAAGTATATGTTGATGAGTAATTGTCTTTGATGGAGTTTTGTTCTCTGAGCTGGATGGTTTGGTCGTGGAGATAGAAGTGTTTATTAATCATTGTCAACACAAAATCCTCCAGATCCGTTGGCCAGACACTATCAGCAACAACCTATTATAGGAGAATAAAGCAGATCCCAGCGGAGGAAGAAATCATGAATAGGCACTGGAAGTGGATAGGATACACATTGAGGAAAGCACTCAACTGTATCACATGGCGAGCCCTCACATGGAATTCTCAAAGCCAAAAGAGGAGAGGAGGAAGACTAAAGAATACATTACGCCGAGAAATGCAGATAAACATGAGAAAAATAAGCGAAAATTGAATGGAACTAGAAAGGAAGACCGAGAACAGAATGGACTGGAGAATGCTGGTCTGCGGCCTATGCTCCATTGGTAGAAACCGGCGCAACACACTTCACTCCTAGACATTACATTCATTTAAACACATTGATTGTTACCACTAGCTGAAAACTCAAATCGGATTAAATCACCTAAAAGAAAAAGAAGGAAAAGAAAAACTTGCCTTTTTTCTTTTGTATAAATAAAATATCGTAAAACTATTGGTTTGATTGAATTAGATTCACATTGAATTGGTGCCCAAATGGATGAAAATTCTCCATATTCATAATCATTAAACCGTATAGTCTCATTATTATTATTATTATCAAATAATTGTACATTCAATACAAATTGACTACATATAGAATTACGATCAGAGGAATCACTAGTACTACTACTAATACTACTATTAGTAGTAGTAGTAGTAGTATAATTATTGACATAAGCCATTAATATCCCATTGAAACAATAACCAATACCAATTAAATTGGATTTTTGATCATTATAATCATCATTCATAGTGATGAAATTATTGAATAATTTCATATTATAAAATTCAATTGGTTGATTTAATTGTAATAAATGAAATAAATAGACTTCTAATTGTTTCCTGGTATCATGATTGTTGGGGTTGTTGTGTTGTAGTTGTCGTGGTAGTGGTTGTTGCTATGCCAACGATTGAAATTTCTCATAATCTGTATAGATCTATATATATCATGTAAGAAATTTTGTGTTAAAGAGTTTTGTGTGATTAAATGATGAAATATTGGATAGAATGTTTCATTTAAATTAATCATTGTTGATGATCCTGATCCTTCTGCTGATGATGCTGACGACGCTCCTGTTCCTGCTCCTGCTGCTGATGGAATATCATTATAATGAGTAGTAGTAGTAGTAGTATTATAAGTAGTATATAATAAATATTGTAATTGACGTGAATGAGTTGTACATAGATTGAAATCATTTGTTGTTGTGGCATGAATCAAATTGACTAATTTCCGTAAAATTTTTTCTTCTTTTATCAGTAAATGACCATTGGATAAATCCATTAACATAATCATACACCAAATCATTATAATCGATAGAATGATCCTAATCAAATCGGATCTTTTATGAAAATGTTGGATCATACTCATTTTGTTTTTTTTCAATTCGATGATGGAATCATTTAAGAAAAGAAACAAAGTTACATTCACCAACCCCGCCCCCTCAAAAAGAAAATGAAAAAAAGAAAAAATCTATTTACATCTATGTAGAAACAAGAATAATACTGATGATGATGAAGATGAGGAGGAGGATATTGTCGATAGTTTATCAGTTATAATGTGTTATATCTATCCATTTTGAAGTAAACATTCTATATAGATATAGGGATATATGTATCCTAATAATACTGAGTTTACTGTTTTGTTTATAAACATTATGCCTAAATGTAGATATAGATCTGGTAAATAGAATCTATAATAGTTGACTCTATATGTACATCTAATAAAAGCCAATGCTTGTATTTCCCACAGATATATAGATAGATGGATATATATGTGGATCTGTAACGGAGTGACACACCTTACGGACGTACATACCTAAGCGTGTTCATCATCTAAGGGACAACTAAAATTTAGGTCTGATTTCTTTTGGCATAGTTTTCATGATTGGTCAAAGAGTTAAAATCTATTTTCCTAAATTGATGATTGGATATAGTTTATGTATAAAATGATAGTCAAATTAACGAATAGATTTTATTGGTAAATATAATCGGTTAATCAATTCACTAGTCATTTGATTAAAATTCTTTTACAACTGAGGGTATTTAAGATAGTGGAGAAGATTTGTAACTCACTATTTACTTGTGCTTGTTATTCCTTATGGAGGAATATAGGACGCCTAACAGCACTCTCCATCAAACGCTAATGCATAGGACATACATTGAAGAAATCATCAAACTGCATCATGAGGCAAGCCCTAACTTGGAAATCGTGAATGGAAGCGGAAAGTAGGAAGGCCAAATAACCTATTACGTTGGGAAATAGAAGCAGATATCAAAAGGATGAATAACAACTGGGAACAACTGGAAAGGATCTTCCAGGACAGAGTTGGATGGACAATGCTCCTTCATGAGGAGTAGCAGGCGGTGGAGAAGATTGGTATCTCAGATGTGTGCACAAACATAGGAACTAAAATTCAACCAATCGAAGATATAATCAAAATAAAAAAGTAAACAATGACAGGTTTAAGGTTAAAATAACCAATCAGCATCGAGGTGTATAGGACAAGTCTTGAATCACATGTGAAGAAATTCGAACAATTAACTTCTACCTAAACATTGTGCTGATGATGATGTTCAGAAGAACGGTGAAAGCTCCACGATCAAACTATGCAGCTCAGTGAAGAAAACACCATCAAAATAGTTTTTACCAACGAAATTATGAATGAAACAAAAAACTATTATCATTTTAAGAGGACGCGAAGAATATGTACCTCTGATATGGTGGAAAAAGATGAAAAGTTACTGAATGACACTTTAATAGCAAATGGTTATCCACTCAAGTTTATTAATAGGTGCAAAAGTCAGTTAATGCCAAGACCTCTAATTTATTCAGTGCCAAAGAAAAAGGTTTACATCAATCTACCATATAGAGGCGAATCAAACAGTATAGTTTTAAGGCACAGATTGAAAGCAGCCATTGAGAATACGTATTATGCTGCTCAGTTGGTTGTGATTGAAAAGTCTAAGGCCATGATTCATAATAGACCTAAACAATGCACTAATGATTACGTCACATCCCATTGTATTTACCAATTTACATGTTTGTGTGGACACACATACATAGGGAGGAGTAATCGAACAATGCAATCAAGGGTCAATGAACATGTACCCAGATGGCTTCAAAATTAGTGTGTCAAATGATCCGATCAATGTAGGAGGTAGAAAACCAAGTTCATCAATAGCAAAACACATAATTGAGACGGGGCACAAAATTAACATTAATACAGCATTTAGAATGTTGTATAGAAATTGTCAAGGTCGAATTCTTAAGTTTATTGAAGCCTTAGTTATTCGTAAGTTTAAACCCCCCTTATGTGTACAAAAACAATTTGTCGTAACCTTGAATTTACCTTGGTAATCCTTAAGTCATTCTATAGCCTAGGATAACGCGACAATTTCTTATTCTTTCTCCCCCCTTAGTTATTTTAGTTGTACTTTTATTTGTTTGTTTGACCTTTATTGACCTTTATTAATTTTCATATAAAAATGCCTTGACAAGTAAATGTGTGACCGGATTGTTCGAAATGTATATCGCAAATACATCACATTTTTCAGCTCAACTCCGTCTTCTCATTGTTCTATCGATATTATCACTTAGTTTTTATTCTATTGAATGTGTATTATGTATTTCAGAAAGACAATGAACAATCAAATGAATGAATGAATGAATGACTTAAAGAGCAAGAAAGAGAACGTACACAGGATATTGGAAAGATCGAAAGAGAAAAAAAAGAAAACAAAAATCCGTAAACAACTGTCGTCTATATGCATATGTGCGTATTACCATTAATACTATTATTATTATTATTGTTAGTGACTTAGAGTCATACAATAGTAGTGACTTACTTTTATCACGAGAACACGATTAATTTAATGAAAACAATTATAATTATAACCAATTGTACCAATGATTGTTTAACTGTGCTAATGACAGCCATATTACTGCTCCATTATCTTTCAATTGTGACCCTGCACGAATTCGGTTACGCTCAGTAACCACACTTGTACTCTTTTGACACAATCTCGGTATCCTCTCGATACCACGAGATCGCCAACAAATACATCTCGACTACAGCCATCAACTGCCTTCTGATATTCGGCTTACGGGGGATTTAATCGGTTGACTGGCACGTATTCTTCTTGTGGTGGTGTTCATAGTCAAACGCTACTCGACACCACGCTACACAACAATGACAACCATCATAAATTGAAATGAATTAACCAATGGAAACATGTTACATGCTAATCGATCGATATACAGATCATTCTACTCATAAAATAATATAGCAATGGAATTAGGATCATTTTAAGAAGATATCTATATATGATTCTTACAATTAGGATGGAGGGAATAGATGTATTTCTAAAATTTAAATAAAAATTTAGAATACGAACAAATAATTAGATTAGTAAATAACCAGGAAATTGTTTGACTGCAAGATTCGAACACAGAACCTATCGGCTTCGCGCGCAAACGCTTAACCTTCCTATAGTAGTCAACATTTACTCACTAGTGACTGGCTTCAATAGGTATTTCCTGGAGTTCTAGTGAAGAGCAGCGACCAGTGGAGTTCAACTGGGTCTATTACCAGATAATAACTCACTGAAGACAATGGTGGATGTTTCGCTCTATTTCATGGATTGGTTGAAGTTAGATATTAACATCGTTGGATGTCGGTCCAGTAGTATGATTTGCAAACTGGTAATATCACTCCGAGAGGTCTATTTACTGCATTAAATTTCTTTCGGTTCGAAATTTCGACCTCATTCCGTTATATCCCAGTGAAAATAAAATTATGGGCAACTTCTGTCAACTAATAATGGACAGATGTTATAAATATATTCTTATTGTATAACCATTCAGTAACTAGATTGTGTATATTCATATTCAACTTAGTATAAGCTTCATTTTGATCTATAGACTATGATCATACGATTTACTGTTCTTAAATTATACTCAGTTTATTGATTACAGTCTCACCACAATCACTCCCACAGCCACATCTTGACTTCACCTTGTATAAATGTTATTTCCTATTGGATAGTGTGATGTGGCGGTGTGTTTGGTTGGTATATAAACCAAGTATGTTTGAAATAAATGGTTCACATAATGGAAGCTTTTATTGGTGTTCTGGACTAAAGTGGATGGGCTAGGAGATCAAAAGAGCCGATAAGGTGATTAGGCTGTTCATAGTGGTCGAACATCATGCTTTGTTACAGTACTAATATTGTATAAGTTTTATTTCGATTCGCAGATATATCACGTGATAACTAGCTGGGTTTAAAGTCACAACACATTCAACTTTTTCCTAATTAGACTTGGAATAGCGAAATGTTAAAAAAAAATTATAAACAGTGGATTTTGGTTACTAGATTTTCTTAGTTGCTAGCTATCATTGTCATTATGTGCCTATAATTTCTAGATAGGCTTACCAATACTATTTATCGGTTACAACATGACATTCTCAGGATTAAACATTTGAGCGATTTCTTCCTATTCATCGTTTCCATCATCCATTCAACTTGGAAATGGTTGAGGATTTAGATGGACAGACACTCAGGTCAATCAACAGACACATAGAAGTCAACTCAATGTATTTACTAAGTGGAAAAATCATGAACAAACATAGAGTCAGGAATCATATCATCAAAGAGAGAAACAATGAGAATAAATATGCATACAACACTAGGTACTTAAGATGAGAGCCGACATAACAAGCTGTCAGTCATATATGGAGAAATTTGAGTACATCATATCTACCTGATGTTTGTTCTGATGATGTTCAAAATAACAATGGAACCTCCATGATTAAACCTTCCAGCCCATAGAATAAGTTTTCATCGAAATTATCTACCTGAGCTAAAAAATCTCCACCACCTGAATATTCATACACAAAGTAAATGAATAAAACTACTAGAAATTTCTATGCGAAGATAAAACTCGAACACAACGAATTAACCCCATGTTCAATGCTATAGGGTTGTGGCTAAGTCAACATAATATAAACTGTTTGTCGTTGAAATTCACTTGGTGTTGCTTTACTTGTATCTTCTCATTGTTATTTATGACTACAATTGATCAGTCTCTTATTGGCATATGTGCATCCTGTGTGGATTGCCTCGATATAGCCTTAAGTCACAAGCTTTTTAAGCAAGGATGGATAATGGCTAGCAATGGACTCCAGTTTGACGCGCGTGTCGTCCTATTTAAGACTCGTCAGCTGGATGTACCTGCATCCAAGAGTTGATGTTCGCTCAGGGACTCGAATCCTTGTCGTTTAGTATATA